ATTCCACGCAGATTTGGGGTTCACTTACACTTTCACTTGAGGTTTGAGTTCCATTACTTCTGTGCTCATTTTGTATTTTATATTGCATATAAAAATGTCACCCATTTCCTTACATTTTGATTCAACGTCACTCAACTTCAAAGCGCATTTGTTCCATATATTCCCCTCGCTTTAAAGTAGGTTACATTTAATAACCATCATTAATTTATCAAAGACTGTGGGGTGTGTGTGGTCCAAGCAGATTAGATTGATAAAGTTTTTCTATTAAGTTGTCATCTAATTCGTCTGCAGCCAGTGTTTTGCCACCTCTGCCCTCTTGTTTAAGCTGAGTTTCTTTTGGCCTTTAGAAATTCTTGTCCTTGCAAACCGCGTCTCCATAATCGGCAAGTACTTGTAGCCTTTCTGTCTGATGCAGCGATCAATGTTTTGATATACTGACCTTAATGATGTGGGCTGATATGCTGCACCATCTTTCTTGGTTAGTACCACTATAAATTTACTGGCGAGCGAGCTTATTGAGTCCTGCAAGGGTAGAGCCTGAGGCAGCTTGATGTTTCTGCACACAGAACTCTACAGAATGTTACCATTGGAGAAAAGGCATTTCTGGGTTTTATTCGCATCAGTTTTTAGGTTTATTGTCTCTTAGGAGTATTTCCATGTGGTTGCTACTTAACCTTTTAATCTTTCACATGCCACAATACACTGACGCTCTGCCTCTCTTTCATTATCAATTCAGCAGAGTGGGTAAGAGTCCTGCTTTTAAGAGAACAAAACTTGCATTTTTACAGCTCCCTTCCTGCGGGGTAACGTCTCGGAGCGCTTATACAAACACCCGACAGCTGACTTTCAATTGGTGAATGAGCATCAGTTTAAACGTTCAGCCGTGATGGCTAGTTTCAGGGTTCTATCAATGTGGACTTTTCTTCCCAAGTCTAAATGGCTCCCGCAGATCTAGACATGATCGACACAAAACTCAATTCTCTGCTCTTTCACCAGCCCTTCCAAGCGATTCCCATTTGCACTTTCTCTCCCCAAGGATGCATCCCTGGCAAGCACAATGCCATAACTAAAGGGTTTTATTCTACGCTCTATTAGTTCTAGCAAACTTTGCATTCTGTGCTTATATAGGGAACCCAATTACAAACTGTGAACACAACATTAACTCGAGTAAGAAGAGTGCCTGCATTACATCGCTGAGCACAGCAATGCCATTGCCCTTGTTCTAGTCATTAACAACGGCTAAGGCCAGAAACTCAGTGTGGAGGGTAGAGACCACATTCAACTGCTCTGGGACGAGACACCGCCATCAGACGCTGAGTAATTTATGTCTCGAAGGCGTCTCAGCATTTATAAACTGAGCACACTTATCAGCAAAAGCCTCAGTCACAGCCATCTAGTCAATAGATTCATTGGATAAAGGCAGCGAGTACAGAATTTCACATTAGGAAGAAACTCCCATTAAATAATAATATAATAATAATAATCCTTGCTTTTGATATAGCACCTTATCACATCTTCAAGATGTCTCAATGTGCTTCACAGAATATACTGTAAAATAAATTGACTGTGGCGAATAGTGAACCTGTGGAACAGGCTCCCTAGGGAGACAGTTGAAGCAGGAAATGTTGATTCAAATGTTGTACATTTTGTGGGTGAAACCAGCAACTATTGCGCACAGCAGTTTCCCACAAACAGTCGTGGATTGAGTGACCATTCCACATTTGGCTAACAGCAGTTGAAAAGGATCCTTAAAGATTCAATCATCCTGTTCTATTAGGAAACAATTCATTTGGAAATAAAAATCAAACGTTTGCAAATTTAAAAGCATCACGTTCAATGGGTCCTCCAAAATAGCCTCTAAAACTGGAGATAATAACAATAAACTTTGTGTTAATACTTATAATAAGATAACAATAAGAGATGTGACAATGGTGGACATTTGAATTCTGAAATATCATCGTCCTGCAAGAGTAAGCTGCTCACTGCTGGCTAAATACAATCCTTAAGCAAGGCAAGCCCACAGGGTGACTGTTGCGGAGAGGACAGACAAAAGTTGGGGCTTTGAAAATCTAAGTCTCCATATCACATGAGTTTGAGTCCTGCTTTCTGAGGTTATCCGCTACCATCTGGTTGCAATCAATGTTAGTCACAACCTGCCTGGCCCACCAGCTACAACGCACTCACTACAGAAGAGCTGAGTTTGAATGACAGTCCTGACAGTCATATGTATTTCAGTAATTTCCTAAGGGGAAAGTTTGACATTGTCGGTTGTGTAACCTGAAGAGATGTTGGAAAGTCAAACTAGCCAGCAAATGGGTCCCTTTCCACCGAGCTGAGAGGAATGACAATAGCAAAGCGATCAGCAATATCTCAGGGTGCCCACTGCACCAGAAACACTCTCATCAGATGTTGTTTTATAAGCAGTTTTCAGAGTTAATCATAGAACAGAAGGGAGACATTCAACCCGCTCGGCCGTTTTATTACATCGTGGCAGATTGTTTAATTCAATTTCACCATCTCTTTTTCTCTCTCTGGCTCTCCCCATCTATCTATCAGAAGTATATATCATATGTTACTAGAAAATGCCATCTCTGCATTTATTTTGAATTCACCACTTTTAAACAATATCTTCACATAGAGATCTATTATGCAACAAATCTCTAAAGCTACAACAACAACGTACACTTATATGGCGCCCCTCACTCAGGGTAGGGTCCGAGAGCTCATTCACTGCACCCTAGTTTGGGATACAGGGTTGCGTCCCAAACTAGGGGGCAGTGAATGAGCTATATCTTATGGATTGGGGTTAGGGAGGGAAAAACCAGCAAGGTTCCTGCTCCTTATCCCTCATCAATACCCTCTACTAGATGTGCATGTATGTGTGCATGGCAGCCAGGTAAGGAGCGATTAGGCTTTAGCCGTCCTCCACAGTCCACTAGAAATGCTCTCTACAGTCAAGTGGCCCGTCGATATTCACTCACTTCTAAGGCTCACATGTCGGCAATACAAGGACATGAGAGTCACCAGAGAAATCTAACCAGGAATTCTTATAGAATTATGATGGGATTTCCTGTGTTAGAATTCCCCTAATGGAATCTCCCATTATAAACACAGCAGTTACCCACTGATCAATTGTCTCCACATTGGCTACAAGGCAATATTCAGCCACTAATTTGGTGACTTTTTTAAATTTACCAAACAAGACCAGTGCTGAGATTTCCATTCTCCAAATCATTCCTCAAAGTAAGGAAAGGGAGAAGAGAGAGAATTCACAAACAAAATACTGTTTGGCTAAAAATAAAAATGTACGCTGTGTTTATAAAGTGAACACCATAATCGTTTGGCCACAAAATATACAGCCAATTCACTTTACAGTATATTCTACGAAATGCTCTGAGACATCTCGAAGACGTGATAAGGCGCTATAATGAAATAATAATAATTCTTAGATTTGGTAAATGCAAGGATTATTATTATTTTTACACAGCAGTATTTCATGAATAAGTAAACATCAAAATGAATTGCATAAATTGTTAGATTGACAAACATTACCAATAATGATGTCAGACCAGGAAAGTTACAGTAAGCAAGTCGCAAGTTATTATGTTCACCTTAAAGGTGGAAAAATCAATCTAGATTATGACTATTTAAAGGCCCTGCCTTTAAAATCATTATATTGCAGCAACAGAAACCCGCTGGTTGCTGCACAGTACTTGAAATAGCAACACATACACCATCTTTTCTTAATGTCGCAAACCATGAGACTGCAGTTGGTAAAAAAAAATCAATTGAGGAGTGAGAGAGATGGTGCTTTGCAGGTTACTTCTGTACCTTCAGGCCCAGCCAGATGAACTGTAATGATCTGTTGCGATCCTGTATATTTCAGGTACTGAGTTTCCAGACAAGGCCTGATGTTTCTTATATGCTGTTATATATCAGCTTGTTTACTCACATGTGCATCAACATCCCTTAGAAGCATCTCGTTGCAATCACAACAGAGCCAGAACAAATCCCAGCACCCAATAAGCTAATCACCCTGCAAAACAATGTCGCAAAACCCTTCAGCCCCCAAAACATTTGTTTGCTCCACAAAACTCAACTTGACATCTGAAGCAGATCCAAACACCCGTAAAGTCACCACAAACTTATAAATCACAGTGAACAGGAAGAGAGAGAGAGAGAGAGAAAAAATGCCTGCGTGAAAAAGTCGGAAACAGCCTCGGGGGAATTCAGGCAAAGTATACATAATCCCTTGGATGTCAGCATAGCATTGGCATTCCCCCTCCTGCCTGTACAGTGGCAAAATGTTGAGATCTGGCCTGATCACAGGGAAGGCTATTCCTGGTTGCCTTATTTTCATAACAATCCTTGCATTTGATTTAGTGCCTTATCACATCGTCGAGATATCTCAAAGTGTATATTTCACAGAAATATTCACCCACAGTCTACAGTCAATTCACGTTACAGTGTATCCTATGAAGCGCTTTGAGACGTCTCGCCGACGTGGTAAGGCGCCGTATCAAATGCAAGGATTATTATTATTATTATATACTGTAAAGTGTAGTGACTGTGTATTTTGTGGGTGAGACCCGGGAACCAACTGCGCCCAGCAGCGCCCCCACAAACATTGAGTGACCACATTTTTTTTACTTACACCTCAAGAGGAAGCCCATAGTTGTGTCCCTCCTCCTCCCCTCCCCTCCTCCCCCCCTCACAGCCTCTGGAGAAGGGGGGAGGTTTGTTTTCCTGGTTGTGAACCCAGAAATCCTGTCTGTCTGTAGGCCACAGAGAGAGACCCAGGGCCGAGGATCCTCCAAAGGCCTGGAGTCAGCACTAGGCCTCTCAGCGAGCCTGCGGGGGTTGTTGGTTTCCGCTGCTGGAGGATGCGGGGCCTGTGTGCGCGCTGGGGAGGTGCCGGGCGGGGAGCCCGGCTACTCGACCCCACAGGCTGCTGAGGCCTAGTGCGTGTTGGAAGCCGGGGAGCGGTGAGAGAGACGTACCGTGAAGTGAGGAGCTGTCCCGGGTTAGTCAGGGTGTCCGGGCGCCGGTGTCACCTGTACATGGCCAGGCGGGGCGGCAGGCAGGAGCCGGTGTCAGAAGGCGGCGGAGAGGCGGGCGCTGGAAGCGGCCATTTTCCGAGCGAGCGTCGCCCCCGCGCCGTTTCCCCCGGCGCAACCCAACCTGCTGGCCGAGCGCTGAGTGACGGGCCGCTCCGCCAATCACAGCGCGGCCGCCGCACACGCCCCCGCTCACTATTGGGTGGTTCTGCTGCTGGGGGCGGGGATAGCGCAAGGCGTCGGCCAATCAGGGGAGAACGGGAAGGGAGCGAGCATGTTAGTGTGACCCACAGAGCTTCTGTTCACACCCACCGGCCACACACCCTCCAAACACCCCCCCACAACCCCACCAGCCACCCCCACCCCCCCACATACCCCCCACACCCCACACCAGCCACCCCCACCCCCCCACATACCCCCCACACCCCCACCAGCCACCCACAGCCCCCCCACCCCCCCAAACACCCCCCCACACTCCCCACCAGCCACCCACACCCCCCCCACCCCCAAACACCCCCCCACATACCCCCCACCACCCCCCCACCACCCCCCAACCACCCCCCACATACCCCCACACCCCCCACCAGCCACCCACACCCCCCACCCCCAAACACCCCCCCACATACCCCACCACCACCCCCACCCCCCCATACCCCCACACCCCCCCACCACCCCCACACCCCCCCACCCCCAACACCCCCCCACACCCCCCACCAGCCACCCACACCCCCCCCACCCCCAAACACCCCCCACACCCCCCACCAACCACCCACACCCCCCCCAAACACCCCCCACATACCCCCCACACCCCCACCAGCCACCCACACCCCCCCACCCCCAAACACCCCCCCACATACCCCCCACACCCCCCACCAGCCACCCACACCCCCCCACCCCCAAACACCCCCCCACACCCCCCACCAGCCACCCCCACCCCACACCCCCTCCAAACACCCCCCCACATACCCCCACACCCCCCACCCCACCCCCCCCCCAAACACCCCCCCACCGGCCACACACCCTCCAAACACCCCCCCACACCCCCAACCAGCCACCCACACCCCACCCCCCCCCCAAACACCGCCCCACCAGCCACACACCCTCCAAACACCCCCCCACACCCCCACCAGCCACCCACACACCCCCCCCCAAACACCCCCCCACCGCCACACACCCTCCAAACACCCACACCCCACCGCCACCCCCACCCCCAACACACCCCCCACCGGCCACACCACCCCCCCCCACACCCCCCCCCCCAAACACCCCCCCCACCGGCCACCACACCCCCCCACCGGCCACACCCCCCCCCCCCACCGGCCACACCCCCCCCCCACCGGCCACCCCCCACCCCACACCCCCCCCCCCACCGGCCACACCCCCCCCACCCCCGGGCTTGGCATCAGGCTCCGCCACGAGGCGCTGCCCTGTGCGGAGGGCACTATATAAATGCAAGTTGTTGTCATCCCCTCACCTCCATTCACCACACTCACATCCGTCACCGTGTATCTTCTCTACATTTTTTTCACATAAAATATCTTCTGTATTGAATTATGTTGCTACTGATATCTGATTTATTTAAGCACAGTAGATCTCTATTTATGTGCATAGCTGATGCTGGTGGGAACGGTCGTAGATACAGACCCACACCACCCCCGCCACACAGCCAATATGGTTGCAATGAAACATCAGGTCTATAAACAGATCACAATATGTCCCGTCCTATCTTCAAAGCAGATTGTTTTGCAGACAGCTTTAACAGTAAAATTAGAGTTTGCTGACTTGTCCTGCAAACCATTCCTGGTGCTATGGAAAACTACAATCTGAATTACAATATTTATTCACAGCATTCATTGTTTCGCCCACAAAATATACAGTCAATTCACTTTACAGAATATTCTGTGAAGCGCTTTGAAACGTCTCAAAGACGTGATAAGGCGCTATATCGAATGCAAGGATTATTATTACTATTATTTATTATTATTGTAGTGTAGTAACTGTGTCACGTGGGCAAACCCCAGTGTAATAACTTATTAATTTTGGGGGTTATAAAACTGGTTCAGGGAATGTTTTAATGTGATTTGAGAATAACCAGCAAGTATACATGTATTTTTCTGAATAAACTATAAAGATATGTCATATACGTGTTTGAAGATGCTGTCTCTAACTCGCCCAGTGCTGGATAATCCCATGTAAAAAGTAAGATCAGTGTCTAAAATGTCCAAAATCATCAAGGTTTGTCTTTCTATCGAGTTGCTGATTGTTCTTGACAGGGACAATGAGGAACATATTAACCCACGTGGCATTATCTAACATGACAATCATCATTTTATTAGTGAACACTTGTCTTCCAAACATCACGCTTTCCTACTGGAAACACAAGCCCCGTCAAGTGAGAAAGTTTTGCTTTTGTTGCGTGTTTGTACCTTCTGCGTCTGCCTGAAACAGACCAGTTCTGTTTTTGGAAGACTTCTCTTGGTCGTTAGTTTCTATGGTTTGAAACGTGAGGTTTGTGCTTTTGTTTTATCTTTGGTAGTTTGAGAACATGGTTTGCTTCAATATATGTTGGGGACTCCTCTCACTGTGACCCGACATCCCAAGTGCTGGATCTGAAACGAACATCTGCTGATCAGAGGAACTGATCCACAGGGCTGACTGCGGAGTTGGCCTATAACTGTCGGCAAGTTGACTCAGGGCTGGTGATTGACTGCAGGTTTGGTGGCACGCAGGGAATTCTCAGTCTGGTTCGGAGACTTTTAAACACGGTGATGGGTTTCTGCATGTGTCAGACACCTGCTGACCAAAACAAAAACAGATCAATGCCCAAAAGAGGCAGCAGCAGCCTTGCTGGCTCAATGCTCCTTCAATGCTGTGACTACAGCTTATGTATCTGTGCTGGCTGTGCGTGTCTGTGTGTGTGTAAGTGGGGTTCTATGGACAGTGTGTGGGACCGATATAGTCCTTTCCTGTGGTTTGGAGAGTCAAGATTTCTCAAGTTTCTGATCAGCTTACCTGTAACCCTGTATCCAGACCGAGGCATTTCCTGCCAAGCAAATGACCGAGTCTGACCTCTGAACAAGTCAGTCACATTGCCAACCCGCTGCAGTTCTTGCGGCAGGAAACATTTGTGTTTCTCTCAGTGCTTGTCCATTGGGCACATGAACATTGATGGGTGTGATACACTTGAGGAAACTTCATTACTCCTCACTCACTGAGGCAGAGCATTTGGTGTGAATGGCAAGCGAGATGTTATTCCCAGAATTGAACTCCTCCATTATCATTCATGAATAATGTAAACCGTGTGGGACCAATAACACAGCTCCGCAGACCTCCCTCACTTAACACTCCTCCCTGAAAGAGAGAGTGTTCGTTGTTTGTTTGTCAATGTCCATCTCTATCACTTGCCATTAATTTCATGTGCATTTATCTTCCTTAAAATGCGGAAACTTTATCAAATGCCTCCTGCAAATCTTCGCTTACTTATTAGGAGTGACAGACACTTTTTTGTCGGCAATGTAACCTATTTTGATGTGTGTCACTCTTGGAATTAAACACAGCTCTGTGTGTTTAAATGGGTTTGCATTCTATGTCAGTCTTGCTGATCATAAATATCCCTCCTAACATTTGCCTGATTTTGACAGCTTTGCAGCTCAGACAGAGCTGCAATATTCTGTGAATCCACCCTCTAGCCTTTAGTGGCTGGACTGATTCCCTGTCACACTGAGGCCACATACAACGTCAATTACTAAATCATTACAGATGCTGGAGGTGCTAGGGTAGTGCCAATGCCACAACATGGCTTCAATTGTGTGTGTGTGTGAGAGAGAGGAAGCATGGGGAGGAGTGGACAACAACAACAACTTGCGAGACATGTCGTGTCCCAAACTATATATTGTATCCCGAGAAATTATTTCGTAATAGAAATCTAATAAGAACATAAGAATTTGCCAGGCGAAGAAGAAGAAAGAATAAATATGTATCTACAGGAAAATAGAGATTTTGCTTAACCTTATTAAGCCCATTCAATGTCTTAGTAATTAAGAATGTGCAGAACATTCTGGCATTTAATTCAAGCCTTTTACCGTAGGTCTTTTTTTTAGAAAACACTTCTAAAGTAAGACTGATTTATGAATTTTCTTACCTAAGTTCTGCCCAATCTTAAATTGAATACAATGCTCTTAAGCCATGATCATGAGAACTTTCAAGCCTCAGGAATATGAAGCTCCGAGTTGCTGCCCCAATCACTACTGTAACAAGCTTCCCCTCACAATGTGACGTTGAGTTTCTGCTTGTCTGGTGTTGGCGATACAGCTGTTTATTTCCCTGCTGCTAATTGTAACAGTCATTGAAGATTAAAAAAATCAATTTTAATGTAGTTATAAATATTCAGGATCTCAGTGATAAAATCGCTTCATCTAATGTAATAATGAACTGGGAGATATATTGAGAGTATATTGAAAGAGTTTACCAATGTCTGATTTACCTCTCAGCTTCACTTGATGCCAAAGCAATCCAACATGTGCTGAACCCTCCAACAAAGCCATACCTTCATCCCTTCATTCAATGATGCATTTTCTATAGACTTTAGACTTAATGGCGGAAGCCTTACAGCAGAAGTGAACATGTGTTGAGAAGCGTATCTAGTTAATAGAAATGTCTGTATATGTAAATCACATGGAATGATTTTGATTGTCATATATAAATACACTATTATGTTGTCGACATAATTTTCAGATTTGTGTTGTCGTCTTCACAGATTTTATGGTTGCCATATGTTTAACATTCACTCTCTGTTAGTTCCTTTCTCCTGTGTTGGGGGGTATTCACGGATCTGTCATTTGCAGTTTGCAGGAGGATTTGTAAATAATAATAATAATTCTTGCATTTGATACAGCGCCTTATCACGTCTTCGGGACATCTCAAAGCGCTTCACAGAATATACTGTCAAGTAAATTGACTGTATATTTTGTGCGCAAAACATGGCAGCCAAATGTGCACAGCAATGTCCCACAGACAGTCATGGATTGAGTGCTAGGTAAACAGAGACATGTGGAGTACGGAAACTTGCCTAGGGTTTCGCCCTGCTCACAAATCGAATCCCAAATGTGTCGTTGA